AATACTATTAAAAAGCTGACATAAGAACTCAAGTATCATAATACACACTTGATAAGGTTTTGAAGGTAGCAGAATATAATAACTGTTTTCCTAATTATCACTGCAGTAAGGAAAACATAAAAAGTTATGTTCAGCATACCTCATTTAAATGTACTTAAATACATACAAAATTATGTATTTTGTTTAAGAGGGTAAAAAAAGTATAATGAAGTCACCTATAAGAAGTCACTCACAAAATAATTACAAAATTGAGGGAAAAAATCCATAGTTTAAAAATATTAACCCCTTTCATTGTATAAAAGGAACAAGAATAACATAAGAATATCAGATAGTTTTGCAAATAAAGAACACAACTTGCTGAAAGGCAGAAGATACTGAGGTTTTAATGTACAATTATCAGATACAATATTCCTAACTGCAAAAGTCAAAATATTCATTTAGATAAATAGGGCTGCGGATATAGCTCAGTTGGTAAGAGTGCTTGCCTCCCATGTACAACTAAATCAGAATATTTTCCAAGCAACATAAACGTTAGTAGTTTCACTTTTGTACCCTCATCTGAAAAAAAATGAGAACACTGAGTTCACAGGGTTACTGTGGGAAATACATGAGATAATGACACACTAGCTGATATTCAGGAAGTTAGAAATAAATGCTAGCTGCTGTTATTCATTGGAGCACAAAATAAATACATAAAAATGATACTCAGACTGGGAATATAGTTCAGTAGTAGACTGCTTGCCTGGAAAGGGTTCAATCCCCAGGACTGTACCCACCCGCAAAACATTAACTTTTACCAAGGGATATAATACATTTTAGAAGTTTTTCCGTTTGACATTGTTTGTATTTGGTACATATGTATTCTACCTAAATTCTTCATTTACCTCATCCCCAAACTGACCTCTTCCAGCAGGCATTACACAGGAATCAAATTATTCCATCTTTCTCCACTAAGCCCCTCATATAATTAAAAAGTTATATATAAAGATGAAGTTAGTTACCCTAATTACATGAGGCTGTCATAATCCAATAAATACCCTTTCCCAAATAAATCTATTTCTGCCTCTTGCTTTTTAAACTGAATAAAAAGAGGGGTCAAGATGCTTGTCAAAGTGTATGAGTACAAAATCTATAAATAACACAATTTCAATCCAGAAATTAATAGAATTCAAGGTGAAAATCCTAAATTCAAGCCACTACAAATAATTAGAAAAGAATAAATATTTATTGTAGGTATTTTTTAATTCACATTTATGTATGTTACTACTTACCTGGCTTTCACTGATGAGGCTATTATCATAAACACTGCCTATGGCTTCCTGCTTTTCCTCACACTCTCTCATTTCTAAATATGTATTTCTTCATCTATGTGATAAGAATTTACTTGCTGTGTGCAAGCCATTAAACTAGATGCAGTATAGTATACAAAAAAAAGGATTTGTTGCAGCCTTCAAAAGGTTTGTGATTTCACTACTGATATCCTTATTTCATATGCTAAAACATGCTCATTTGCAAATGTTTGTGGGTCCATGTTTAAAAAAAAAAGTATAGGTTGTTATGCTGAAGAAATCAACAAATCAAACATCTTTGTGGCTTACAACAAAGCTTTATTTCTCATTCCACTTACATTTTATACAATCTACAAAAACCAGTTTCTGCTTTGCTCCATGTTGTTTTTCTGGTCTAAAGGAGCAGACTCCACCTAGCCCATGATTATCTCACAGCAAAGAGAAAAGGTACATGGCAGAATAGGACAGCTCTTTGGGCTTCAGTTTGGCATGGCACATCATTTCCACTCACATTTCACTGGCCAAAGCAAATCGCCTGGCTGAGGACTAGGGACATAACAATCTATCACAATACCTATCAAAAGTACTAAAGAAGAGAAAAATATTTAGCCTATTCAAAACAATAATAAAATTAGTATTTATTTAGGGAAGGTTTACTATGTGTCAGACACTATTCTAATATTTATATGTATTGAACTATTCAATTTTCCTAAGAAGAAATCAACAAACATGTATGCTATTGATGAAAACGGATCAACCAAGTTTGGGAATTTGTAATGAGGAAAAATATTTCAAAAATACTTCAAAAATATTTCAAGCTCTCAAACATTGTCTGATACGTTAACAAAGACAGCAAAAGTAGCTAGCTGCACCTGAGGGATAGGAATCTGTTTATCCATTTTATCTGAAGTAGAAACCAACCTATTGGTTTTAAATGTTCCAAAAGTTTCTCAAATTTTGGCTGAGCCTGTTTCACCGAAAGATGAAATATACATAGAACTGTTATTAATCTTAGGACCCCTTGCTCATCAGTGGTCCTTGCAGACTCAATTGCATACTTGGAAATAAAGCAACAGATAAAACTATAGATTGGAGCACAAAATAAACTTTACAAAGAGGTCTCAATCACTTAGTCCCCACTATAGTCATTAATTAACAACCACTGAGGATCTACCACCCTAAGAACTATGTTTGAGGTAAACACAGATCAAGTTTAAATTGAGAAGTTGATATAGGACTAGGTGAGATAAATATATATGAAAACATCAAAATGAATAAATAAATAACACCACATCAAATAACCTAAGTCCCAAGTATTGCTATTTTGAAAGAACGCAAATTTATCTGGTGACACATTGCTATCCTAAATAGTTAAATTTACCCTGGAAAATTCCTTAGGAAAGTAAGGATAAATGTAGATGATTTATTAAGTTTTCTCTCACCTCAGGCTCAATCCAGGGAAATGGACACTCTATGGCACAAGCTCAGTAGATCAGCTGAAATCACTGGCTCTATTTAAATAACCTTTTCTCTAGCTTGTGTGTATATGTTGTTGGATTTTGTTTAGCTTTTTGATTTTTACTGATATACTGTAAGTAAATTCAAATGTTAATGTAGCAGCTTACTACTTCCTTGATAGTTCTTTTCCTCTATTCCCAACTCCCCTCCTTCCTATATGCCTTCTGATTCCACTCTCATATTTTACTCAAAATATCTGAAATGTCATTTGCAAATTTTTAAGCATTACAATAAAATTTGATGCATTATTTCCCCATTAGTTGGTTCTTTTTTCACTCAACCTTTTCAGATTCTCATTACTCTCAAAGCATAATAGTAAAAGAGAGCTTCAAAATAACATTTAAGGGAAAGGAACCACAAATTTCCCTCAAAGTAAGATGAACATCATTGGCTCTCTGGGGAAAAAACAACAACAAAATGTATAAAACATAAATGAATGTATTAATTTGTATTTAAAAACTATTTACCTTGGCTTAAGTTTTTTAAGATGTGAATCAAAAGTCATCTTGAATGATTTAAAATTTTATTTTCAAATCTCTCATAACAGTTGCAAGCAAAAAAAACTCTTAAATTTGGATTTGTAGTCATAATTATCATCAATTCCCAAAATCTAATATCTTAGATTTAGAGATTTATCTATAAACCCAAAAAAAATGGCTGTGCCCTAAACTTAGATATATTGACAAGTTTTTATTAACCTACAGCAATGATCCCTTCAAACTTGATTTCAGTTCTAGGGCTACCATGAGTACATTATTATTTATGAAAGTACAATTAATCCCCAAAATGTCCAAGGGGGAAGAACTAAACAGGATTACCGCTATACTAGCCTTAAGTTATTCAGTAGAGTATTTTACTTTAGAGAACTACTTTCAAGTTCCCCAAATGTAGAACACTAAATTAAAAATTAATTTTTACCTTTCCCCAGTTTGAGAACCTTACTTTTTTAGCTATTCTACATTATGTATTGCTCCACAATTGCCTTCAAGTCTTTTCAGAAGCCACTAAACTTATCTAGTAAACCCTCTTCTTTTCCACATAACAGTATTTAAAAGCCTAATAAGTCACCTCCAAAAGTTCCAATTAACTCGTTTAACTCTGCATTACCGCATTCCCTTTATGTTTGTTTAGCGTTACATTAATAGCATTGAAACGCGTTTTCTATTCAATCTTTAACCACTCACATTCCTCCTCCCACCCCAATCTTACCCCTGTCCAATCTTTCCAACTTTGGTCTAAGCATTTAGTGTAGTCTCCACAGCATGCAGTAGACATTTAATATAAGCCCCTAGGTTGTATTTATAATAGGCTGTGTAAAAAGCGACAAAACATTAAGACTTTGCTGATGAAAATGCTAACCTATGTATGTAACGTGTGTAGGCTGTTAATACTGAAATGAATTCAGAAAAATTCAGAGAAATATGGAAGTGAAGGATTAAGTAAGGCAGTAAAAAAAAATAAAACCACCATCACATTGTATTGCTTCAAAGCAATACAATAAAACAATTGCTAAATTATTGTGATGCTTTAGTAAAACTATGGATGGGAACAATTCCGGGACTACCATCAGTCTAAAAAATTACCTTCCCTGGCTCGGGATGTAGCTCAGTGGAAGAGCTCGCACCTGGCAAGCGAGGCCACGGGCTCCTCCCCAACACCGTAAAAAATAAGAACTAAGAAATGTCTTCCAAAATTACTAGCAATGACATTTTTAATAACACTAAATTCCTAAGAAAAAAGTTTTCCTGCCATGCAGACTAATTAAACAATCTTTCTGTTCGGAAGCCCAATAAACACCACTTACACCAAAGACCGAAGTGGTGAGCAAACAGGTGACAAATGGAAGGGCCGCGAAAGTGGGGAGAAAAACCATGGAGACTCCTGTCCTTCTCTGAGGGCAAAGGTTCCGCTCAGAGTTCCCGAGACAACCACTCCCCAGAGACCCTCTACCTCGGCCACCGACCAAAAGTTTCCAGGAAACCAGAGGTCCGGCTCCCCCTATCCGCATTCACACCCCCACTCGCCAGGCCAGCGCCGGCGAACGCAGCTAGTCCTAAGTCCGCCGCCCTCTCCCGAAGAGAGGGTCAGCGGAGGACGCTTTCCCGAGGCCTCCTCCGGGACCTGGCCAGCAAGGACTCCTCAACTGTGGAGGAACCTGAGAATCTTGAAGGAGAAGCCTGACAATTCTGTTACCTGGTTGGAACCCTGGAAACGGAAATAGCAGCTGTAGCCGCTGCTCTTCTCCCCAACAACGCCTGCTTCAGCGCCACTGACATTAAGACCGCCGCCATCTTGCTGCAGGCAAATGGCAGGATGGGAGGACGGATCCCCGCAAGGGTCTAACTTCCTTCGTTCTCAAGCCAGTACAACCGCAACGTAACGGATTCGTGTGGTGTCTGCTTTCCTTCCAATACTGGGGTTTAGAAAAGAGTTAAAAGGTTTGGTTGAAAGAGATAAGAAGGAAAATGGATGAAAGAAAAATGAAGAAGTGCATTGAGTGTAAATATTGCCCCATAAAAAAAAATAATCCTTATTAGTTGGTAGGACTTATTATTTAAAATGATAATGGAAAGTCCAGAAGAAAATAATTGAAAATTTAAACGCCTGCAACTCATAATTTTTCAAAGAACTCAAAATATCAAGGGCTGAGCCCATTGGGAGAGCCAGAGAGCTCGTTGAGTCCTTGAGAAACAAAAGTAGCACTTTCCCAAAGTGTTGCCAGATTGAGTTTGCAAGCCCCCAGGACAGGACTGTATTCAGTTTGAATTTCTGTAGTTATAATGATCATATTTTCCACAAACAATCTGGCCTCAGGAAGGATTTTTTTCAACATGTGGACTCATTTGAAACCCAATGGAACCTAATAATTTTTAAAATTTTAATGTATGTTTTGATTCAAATTATTAAACATGTATGAAGTATAATGTGGTGTTTTGTCATAGGTATATCTTGCATATGGAGCACTATATTTGATATTACTATTTCCTCAGTAAATCCTGAACGTGTGATCATAATTCATAAACATCAAAGATATTATTATTTTAGTGCTGGGAATTTAACCCAGGGCCTTGTTTATGCTAAGCACAAGTACACTCCTAGTCCCCCAAATATTATTAATAATATTTATTTAATTAAATTTAATTTATTAAATATTAATGCTCAGTGCAATAAAACAAAAACTATCTTCCAAAACAAGTGTTGGATATGTGTTTGTATTGTGGACTACTGACTTTTAAGAACAATGATTAGCTGTAAAAATTATAGAAATGGAAACTAGAAGTTGCCAGTGGTTAGGACAAGAAAGGAGTAGCCCTAGGGTGACCTTTGTTGTGATGGAGTAGTACTGGATTTTTATTGTGATGAGACAAATTGACATGTTAGAGAATAACATAGGACTATACAAACACTTTACATCAATATCAGTTTCCTCGCTTTGATATTGTACTACTACATTTTGAGACTGTGTGATTCTATTTATATAACTATAAGTAGATTTATGCAATTTGTGACCTTTTGGGATTGGCTTCTTTCAGCATAATACCCTTGAGATCCATCCAAGTTTTTGCATGTATCTATAGTTCATTTACTATTTTTTATTGCTGTGTTTATTCCATGGTATGGATAATTTAACCATTCACCTACTGCAGAACATTTTGATTGTTCTCTGTTTAGGGCAATACAAATACCTGCTTTGAGCAATCATGTACTGGCTTTTGTGTTTTCATTTCTGTGAGATAAATGTCCCAAAATGCAATTGCTAGGTCATGTGGAACATGTGTGTTTAGATTTTTTTTTAAGAAGCTACCAAACTGGACTGGAGGTATACATCACGTCTGGGGGGTGTACAGCTTAGTGAGAGTGTTTGCCTAGCATGCGTGAGGCTCTGGGTTTGATCCCGAGCACCACAAAATTACAACAAAACTACTTGTCTAGGGCTGGGGTTGTGGCTCAGTGGTAGAGCACTTGCCTCTCACGTGTGAGACCCTGAGTTCATCCCCAGCACCACATAAAAATAAACAAAGATAACCATCTCCTTCTACCATCCTTGTTATTCCCCTTCCCCTTTCCTCCCACCCACTATTCCCTATCTAGAGGTAATCTTCCTCCCATGCTCTCCCTCCTTACCCCACTTTGAGTCACCCCCCCCCTTATATCAGAGAAAACATTCGGCATTTGTTTTTTGGGGATTGGGTAACTTCACTTAGTGTAATCTTCTCTAATGCCATCCATTTCCCTGCAAGTGCCATGATCTTATTCTTTCTTATTGCTGAGTAATATTCCATTGTGTATAAATGCCACATTTTTTTTTTATCCATTCATCCACTGAAGGACATCTAGGTTGGCTCCACAGTTTAGCTATTGTGAATTGTGCTGCTATAAACATTGATGTGGCTGTGTCCCGGTAGTATGCTGTTTTTAGGTCCTTTGAGTATAGTATGAGAAGAGGAATAGCTGGGTCAAATGGTGGTTCCATTCCCAGCTTTCCAAGGAATCTCCATACTGCTTTCCAAATTGGCTGCACCAATTTGCAGTCCTACCAGCAGTGTATGAGTGTACCTTTTCCCCACATCCTCGCCAACACTTGTCATTTGTCTTCATAATAGCTGTCATTCTTACTGGAGTGAGATGGTATCTTAGAGTAGTTTTGATTTGCATTTCTCTGATTGCTAGACATGATGAGCATTTTTTCGTATATTTGTGGTATAAAGCTATATTAAGAATTGTAATGCAAAAAAAATCAATAAGAGAGCTCATGTATAACGGCATAATTTGGCATGAACATACTTTATATACAGAGTTATGAAAAATTGTTCTGTGAATGGATAATAATGAATGTAATGCAATCCACTATTGTCATGTATGAAAGAAATTTTAAAAATAAACAAAGATAAAGATCTTGTGTCCATCTACAACTAAAAAAACTTAATAAAAAATTACTTGTCTATTTTCCAGAGTATCATATTATTTTATATTCCCACCAGCTAATTATAAAAATTCAGTTTCTCCATATACTCACCAGCATTTGGTATTGTCACTGCTTTTTTTTTTTTTTTAGAGAGAGAGAGAGAGAATTTTCTAATATTTATTTTTTAGTATTCGGCGGACACAACATCTTTGTTTGTATGTGGTGGTGAGGATCGAACCCGGGCCGCACGCATGCCAGGCGAGCGCCCTGCCGCTTGAGCCACATCTCCAGACCACTGCTTTTTTTTTTTTTTCCTCTTCCCAAGCTAAAATAAATAAGTCTAGTGATATCTTATCATGAGTCTTAATTTGTGTTTCTCTAATGGCTAAAGTGTTGAGTTTTTGTTTTTGTTTTTGTACCAGGGATTGAACCCAGGGTACTTAACCATAGAGCCACACCCCCAGCCCTTTTTGTATTTTATTTAGAAACAGGGTCTCACTGAGTTGCTCAGGGCCTCTCTAAATTACTGAGACTGCTTTTGAACTCATGATCCTCCTGCCTCAGCCTCCGGAGCCACTGTAATTACCCACATGCACCACTGTGCCCAGCAGTGTTGAGTATTTTTTACGTTCTTATTTGCCATTTGTATATTCTGTTAAATGTCTCATGTCTCTTGCCCATTTTCTAATTTGAATATTTCCTTTTTTCTTGTTACACTTTGAGAGTTCTTTGTGTATTCCAGATATGAGTCTTTAATCAGATATGTGGCTCAACTTATCTTTTTATCCTATCAACAGGGTCCTTCACAGAAAATTATTTTAAATTTTGATGTAGTCTATTTATTAACTTTTTAAATTTATGGATTCTGCTTTTGCTGTCTTTTCTAAGAACTGTTGACCGCTCTCCTCCCTAAAGACTTTCTTTTAAAGGTTTTTTAGTTTTACATTTAAATCTATGACCCATTTTTAGTTAATTTTAGTGAGGTTTAGGTCAAGGATCACATTTTTACTTTATGCATACCTAATCCAGGAATACTTGTGGAAAAGATAATCCTTCTTCTGTGAACTTGCTTTTATACCTTTATTCAAAGTCAATGGGCCTGAGCATGATGGCACACACCTGTAATCCTAGCTGCTTGGGGGGATGAGGCAGGAGAATCCCAAGCTCAAAGCCAGTCCGGGCAATTTAACAAGACCCTAGATAACTCAGTGAAACCCTGTCTTAAAATAAAAATTTAAAAAGGACTAGGAATGTGGCTCAGTGTTTAAGTGTCCCTGGGTTCAATCCCTGGTGCCAATTAAAAAAAAAAAAATCAGTTGGTCAAGTACATGAAAAAATGTTCAACATTTTTTTTGCTAACAATTAAGAAATGTTGTAAATCAAATCAAAACTACACTTAGATTTCATATCACTCCAGTCAGAAGGGCAACCATCAAAAATACCAATAATAATAAATGCTAGAGAAGATATAGAGTAAAAGGAACACTTCTATACCCTTGGTGGAATTGTTAATTAGGACAATGCTTCAGAAATCAGTATGGAGGGTCCTCAAGAGACTAGAAAATAGATCCACCTTATAACCCAGCTATACCACTCCTCAATATTTATCCTAAGAATTAAAGTTATCTACTATGGTGATACATGCATACCCACATTTACAGCAGCACAATTTACAATAGCAAAGTATGGAACCAGCCTAGGTGTCCATCAATGAATGAATGGATAAAGCAAATGTGGTATAAATACACAATGAAGTTTTATTCAGCCATAAAAAATTAATGAACTTATGTCATTTTCAGGAAAATTGATGAATATTATGTTAAGTGAAAGAAGCCAAACTCAGAAATTCAAGGGTATATTTTCTTTCATATGTATTAGCCAGAGAGGAAAAAGAAAGAAAAGGCGTGTGTGGGGGGGAGAGGTCTTATGAAAACTGAAGGGAGATTAGTAGATAGAGGAAAGAGAGGGACCAGGAAGAAGGAGGAGAAAGCAGGTAGGGAGAATAGTATTGGACAAATTATATTGTAATATTATGTGCATGTATAAACATATAATAAGAAGTCCCACCATTATATACAACTATAATGCACCAATAAAAAATTAAAAGAAATGGAAAAAATAAGTCAGTTGGCCATATTTGTGTGTGGCTATTTCTGGGTTCTCTATTTCAGAGGAAATTTTAAACCCAGGGATAGTTGTGATGTTTGGGTTAAATTTTAATAGTGATTTTATATATCAAGGAGTAACTTATGATGTGTCCCAGTGTTCAATAAGGCAATTACTCTAGTCCTGTTACTATCCCTATTAACCAAAATTCAGCCTCTTAATGTACTGATATTCTTATCCCCTCTTCTAGGGATTTTGAATCCCTAGGAAAGCCTCCACTCTGTGGTCTTTTTATTT